AAAAAAAAAAAAAAAAAAAAAAAAAAAAAAAAAAAAAAAAAAAAATGCATATATAGCAGTTCCTGTGAACAACATAAAATACACAATACAATATGTCATGCACCTGTTATAGGGGGCTTGTCATGCAAGACAACCCTAACTCCCATCTCAAGCAGTTCTTTATCTTTTTCCTTGGCTTTATGCACCATGGGGTTGGCAATGACAGGACCCTTGTGTGCTGGGGCTAGCAAAGGGAAAATACTAGTGCAATTACACATGCAGTGAGGCTGGCAATGGGGTGGCTCATTCAATCAATCAAATGGCTTCCAATCTACAGAAACCTCTCAGGTGGAGTGATCTGATTCCGAGGACCACATTCTTCAATTGACAAGTAGGGTTTGCTTCTGTTTTAATTGCAAAGAAACCTTGTAAATCATCTGTCATCATGACTTCTTTTTCAAGTTACCAAAACATCAAGTACTTATATTTTGTTTCATTTCTAACAAGTCTATATATATTTCAATTTAGCCAACTAAGTAGTTGGGCAAATGCAGAGAAAAGTTAGGAAAAATTCTGTTAAATGGGGTTCAAAATCCTCTTAGTAAAAAGATTGTCAAGGTTCTTTAGAATTGTTTATTTTGTCTACACAAACACCATTGGCTACATTACACCTACTAATGTTACTGTTAAGAAAGTTACAAATCAAGTAGTGCAGAACACCATTAGTACCCATGCAGACTGCATTCATTTTAGTAGTTATCAGAAATCAGTCACCGCAGAAATGTCAGCAAAAACATTAGAAACTCCATATCCAGTGAGATAAGGAAACAATCATAAAGGTTGTTTATATTTGGAAGAAAAATCATCCATATTTGTGTTTTGCCATAGGCCATGATAATACCAATTTTCAGTCAGCATCCATTACTGTGTTATAATGGTCTTGTTATTGCTAAGGCCATCTTAAAAATGCTACTGAACATACCCTTGTTACGTTAAAATAAGAAGTACAGAAATATAATGTTCCATTTTAATTTCATGATAGAACTATAAAATACAGCATAAGTCAACATGAAAAAAGATATATTGGAGAAATGCATAAGACTGAAATCTACACTTTTATTTACACTATACTGTCCCTATATAATCAAACATGCTCTCAAAGTTTTTCAACGATAACTTGTAGTTTATTTGGTTATTGTAACAATTACTTTTTTCTTAGACTACACCACTAACAAAAGGCATACAGACTGTACCAGGTTGCTTCATTCTACAAGAGGGTCAAGATAACATGCAAGAAGAGGACAGGTTTTGGTTCTTTGTAGATGAACATCAATTTAAAAGTAATCCATCTCTTTTTGAAGCAGAAAACAAATAAAAACATTTATATGATTTGTCTTTCCAGCAAACAGCCACTTACTTTCATAATCTAATATTCAGTCAGAGATGATTCATCAGATTTCTTTCAAGTGTTCAAAAAAGCGTCACATTCAGAAAGATCAAAGACACTCAAAAACCTGCCCAAATCTTGCCGTCATCCTGAAAACAGACTACTTACCCTTCTCCATCTTTCTCCGCCTCCTGCGGACGAAGAAAATGATGAGCAGGACATTACAGGCCAGGAGGACAACACCAACGATACACACACTGAGGATGATGATCAGAGGGACCTCGTCAGCTGTCCCCAGCGCAGACGGACCAGTCGGCATGGTGCCTAGATACAGGGAGAAAATCTCGATTAACAATAAAAACTTCATCCCTTATTCTAGGCAGATATCTGGCCAATGAATTCAAAACAAACCATGTGTGAATACAAATACAATCTTACTTTAAATTAGTTACACAAAGTACATTATTTTTTAAATTATATATTAAGTACAATGCTGAGTATAAGTTAACAAGCCTAATAAATATTTTTCCTTGAAAAGCTTGTCAAATTAAATTACTTACAGTAAAGGCTTAAACAACTTTTTTCCACAGAAAATCACGCAGTATGTAACACATGCTTCACCACTTACTTGATGTTTTTACTATGATGCCTGGAGAATAGTCACTGCTGCCTTCTCTGTTGATGGCTCTCACTGTGAACTCATATGCTGTGTTCAACTTCAGACCTAAATGACAAACACTGAGGGTAATTATTGGTCTTTATTGTCTGTTATATCTTTTTTTTTTTTTTTTTCAGATTAAATATGTCTTTGGTTACTGGTAAAATGGAAATCTTTTTATGTTATTTTACTGAAGGCTTCTGGTATATGCTATTTTCATGTGACAGTAAGCATTTTGTCACAGTATCTAGAAGTAACATGTGACAGTTCATACTGTTTTGTCCATTACCTGCCTTAGTATACACAGCTCTGTCATGGAGCTTACTACAAATTACCTGTGACAGTATACACAGTTTTATCCGTGTCTGCATACAAATGCCCCCTAATATCCTTGGAGTCCACCTTGTAGCGTACATTGTATGTGAGGGGCAGACCCCCGTCAAAGCCTGGGACCCACTGGATGGTGACAGAGTCATGGGTGGAGTTCACCATCTGGATCTTAGATGGAGGGTCTGGCTTGCCTGAAATATCACATTGACACCCTTACGTGTTGTTCCATAGCTAATACTGTAATATTAATTAAAACATCACTTTGGAATCAGATTCTCTTGAACCAGGTAAATAAGACAGGTGGCTCACCCTCAGCCTTGTGGTTGACCTTGTATTAATCATTCCATGCAAAATATCATGGCAAATTTTAGACCTTCATTGTTTTTTTGAAGATTAATAATTTTCAGTTAGTTACAAAAAAATCTGACACGGCTATGGCTTGTCTTTGGTGGAAATAATCTTTCTCTCTAACATTTTTACCAAAACAATGTATTATCAGTCAATATAGTAGTTAGAGTTCTGTAAGTATTTTTCTAATTCTATTCACTTATATTGAACTGTAATTATAATAAGAAACTTACTTGTTTTGTCAAATCTGACCAGGAAGGAGTCTGAGCCAAGATCATTCCTGGCCACACACTTGTACCTGCCGTAGTCCTTCTCTGTGACATTGTGTATGTACAGGTAGGTGACATAGTGGATGAAGTCCAGCTTCTGATGCTCCACGCTGTACCTTGCAAGGCTGACGTTGATTGGCTCTGAACCCTGGAGATAAAAAAAAAAGGCAGAGATCATGATGGTATACAAGTGCTGATTGGCTCCAAGTCCTGGAGATACTGAAACTGCTATATATATATAATGAGGAAATACTTGATTAGCTCTGAGCACTGTAGGCATAGGTAAACATATAGATAGTACTGCTCATCTGATTGGCATACATCATGGAGATGTAGAAACAGTTACAGCTCACCATGAGGTATGTGTTCACAAAGCAATTTGATTTTCAGAAACTAATGCAAATTCATTTTGAATTACTGACTCCTGAGACGTATGTTTCAACATTTTAAAAATATTGTATATCAACCTGAAATAATCATTGCACCTTGGGAATTCTCATGAGGAGGAACATTTATCTGACAGAACAATTGTTGTTTTATAAATATATGGAACACTTCAGCAAACACACAGTCCACATTTACCAGAGGAGCTATGAACATAAGACACACACAAAGCACCAGCATTCATCTGTGGAGGGGCAAAATTTTTTTTTTCTCATGTTTAATAACTATGACAAATCAAATTCTGAAAGCAACCACTTCTGTTACTCACAAAAAATTGACTGCATGGCTAAGAAAACACAAATAAAAATTTGTGTTATTAATACGAGACATATCTTTATAGTTAGTCATGTCATCTTATTCATGTTAGTTATGTTGCCTCTACTGAAGCTATTCATTATCATAATTTTCTCCGCCAACCAATCAAAGTTAACTTATTTAATTCCTGTTGCATTGAAATATCTACATAATAAACCACAGGTAAATTACTGAAAACAGGACTTGTAAATCACGCTACCTTGAACCATGTGAATGAGACAGGTGGCGCCCCCTCAGCCTTGCAGACGACCTTGCCCCTGGCTCCCAGTTCTGCTGCTGACTTCACCTCCAGTTTCTCTATCTCAGGGGGATCTGAAGAAAAAAGCAACGTTTGAATCTTTGAATTAGGTTCTCTTCCACAGCATTGTATCAGGACACTTCTGTACAACCGCGCACACACATGCACTCACTCACATTCACACACATGCACATACAGATCAATAGGTAATAGATTATAAAATTAATACTGACTGATCTTCAACGAAGAATAAAGAATAATGTCAATTGTTAGGTTTTCCACAAACAATTACAGTTAAGAAATATCATTCTTAATTTCTGTAAACATGATTTTAAATCCAGATGTACCTTACAAATAGATCCAGTGAATCAGTATTTCTACCATAAGGTATAGCACTAAACTGGTGCAGTTTAAAACTGTGATTACTTACACTTCACAATAAGTTCTACTATCTTGGTGGCCTCTATTCCTATACCATTCTTAGCTGTGCACACAAAAGCGCCACTATCAGTCTTTGACACATTATACACAGTCAGGCGAGATATCCCTGTAATGTGGAACAAAGGAAATAAACATTACAAGGCATTCAACAAAAGACATACAAATTATGTTACAAGCAAGTTAATTTAGATTTCACAAGAAAAACACAACGCCTGAAGTAAATTCATTCATTCAAATTTTATTTTTGACCTTTGCCTAGGTCTACATGTTCACCTGTATCAAAAGCCTGGACACAGAATTATCACCAAACACAACCTTCCACTCATCCAACACACACGCACGCATGCACACACACGTGCCTTACCTGCATCATAGACCTGGGCAGTATGAGTCATGTCATAGTCCACCCTGGTCCACTTGATCATGTCCGGCACGGTGGGGTTGGCATCTGCCTGACACTCCAGGAACGCCCTGTCCCCCTTGTCAACATACACGGGACTGACCACTGAGGAGATACTGGCAGGGTCTGGGAGATGTGGAAATTACAGAAAAGTTTAGTTATAACAACCATACGAATACTACCACTTTTACAAAAATGGAAATGGCAACAATTACAATAATAATAAAATCATAACCAGAGGAGCCAGCGGAACATGCAGGTTGGGACTAAAACCATGTGTACCTACTACCTCCAGCGCCTACACTGGTGGTACAATAACAATAGCAATAACTTCTGAAAATTCCCACTACAAAGAAGTGTGGTAGACATTAATCCCAGTAGTAGTAACAGATGTACTTTGGCAAAATGATAAAACGTTCACAGATTCATAAAAATACTGGACTCTGTCTTGAATCGCCTTGAGTCGACATAAGTTAGTATTGATACCAACAACACCTTTAAATATGTGATTCCGTAATGTATCTATCTCCTCTACTTACACTGCACATCCAGAGTAAAGTTAATAGTCCCCACGCCCTCACTGTTCTGAGCCTGGCAGGAGTAATTCCCCATGTCGGCCCGCGTAACGTTGGTGATATTCAGCACACCTCCGTCCACTATAAAATGTGGCAGGGCGAGATCTCTTTTGGTCTTGGTGCCCAGAATCAGCTTCTCAGACTCCTTATACCAGGTGTACTGGGTGACCCCGGGGTTGGCCTGGGCCGTGAAGTTGATCACCGTAGACTGCCCCTCCACTATACTAATCTTTGAACCTATGCCCTGGAAACGGGGCTTGACTGAAAAAATAAAGTACAATGATTCATGAAAAATCTACTGTATGAAGTTTCTGATGCAGTATTGACATTCTTAATCATCACTTTTTGAGCTTTTTTTTCAAAATTTAGTACTTTAATTCTTTTAAAACTTCCTTTTTAAATATCTGTCTTTAATGCGCATGAACCATTGAATGAAGTTTCTGATACATTCTGATATCATTATTCATAACTTTTTTCAAAAAAACTTTTAAAACTTTCTTTTTTAAATTTAAGTCTTAAAGTAATGTCCAACTTTCAGACTTTTTTCCATGCAACAAGCTGCTGCATCCATAGAAAAAATACATACACAAAACATTCAGCTGAATGGCATTGTGAACCGACTGCTTCAGCTCCTCATTGCGCGCCTCACACTCATAGTTCTCTCCATTATCCTCCTCTGATGGTGTCAAGACGACCTCGCTGATGGTGGACTTGCCGCCATATGCAGCATCCTGGACATAGTGTGAGCTGGCTCCTATTGGACGATTGTCCTTCTTCCAACTGACCACTGAGGCTGGGTTGCTGCTGGAACTGCTGCACTTCAGGGTCAGTCTCTGGCCAGCTCTGGCCACTGGAGGGTCTTGGGTGACAGTAACACCCTCTGGTGGGACTGGAGGGCAGACAAATATTTCAATTCATGAAATCAGTCTGTATTTTTTTTTTAGTGTCTTTAACCTATAAATTTCTCCAGATATTCTGTCTTTGACTCAAAGAAAAAAATATAAACTTTGATGCCAACATAAAATTTGAGTCAGCTAATTATTTAAATTAAATAAATCACATATCTATCCCTGCTGTAGTCAATACACTTATGTTTGCTGGCAAGGTCAGCAAATGTGGAAAAACATCTCCACTCATTGACTTTCTACAGACACTTAAAAATATATTTTTTTTATTATTTAGGCCAAGCTTCCACTATCTATAAATTTAATCTGTATATAATTTAGTAAATTCTTAATGTAGGTGTCAATGACTACTTACAATGCACAGTAAGTCTGGCAGTATCCAACAGTGGTGTTATTGTGGCCTCGTTGGTGGCATTGCACCTGTACTCCGCCAGATTGTCACTGGCCTGTGCTATGAACTGAATCTCCCCAATGGCGATCTTACCAACAGACTTGTCACTGGACGGGAGCTCCTCATCTCCTACAATTTGAAAAATCATGAGATGATTAATTAGGATGTGAGTGTATATTTTTGTTTTGTTATCACCATGATGGAGCTTTTCCTTTCTTTGTTTTGTAATTCTTGGCTTCTTGACCACAAATGATGATGACTAATAAACATATTATCACTGTGTGTGTAGAAGTTGCCTTAGTTGCAGTCACATATATCATAGGGGAATTTCCAAATGAGTAAAGCTTAGTGAAAAAAAGGTGAATATTTTTGACCAATGTTTTTTTAATCATTTTATTACTTCAGTGAACTATTGCACATTTATTCCAAGTACAAACAGACCAAAGCTAGGGCCTTCAAGTTAAGGTTAACTTAAGCTTTAGAAGTGTTAAGCTTTAGCTCTGGTCTAGGTCTTAAGTGAGCCTGGTCCCAACTTACCTTTCCACCAAGTGATGGTTGCCCTGGGATTCCCTCCACTGGCCGAGCAGCTCAGGGTCTGGACTGACTTGGCTCTGATGGGGGTCCCTGCTGTGTAACCACTAATCACTGGGTTGTTAGGGGGATCTGGAGTGACAGAGTGTTGACAACTATCAGTTCATATTATCATCAAGTGCTTTTAGTAAACTCACAATCTTTCATGAAACAAAATATAACATTTGTTGAAATTGATAACTGATGAGACACTAGCTTGATGGGACAAAAATCATAACCTGGCCTGAAAGCATTTATATGTACGGGTTTGTAAAGTTTGTAAGAACCTCTGTACACAGATAAGAGAATTTATTGTCCAATAATTTTTTGGAAAGAGAAGAGTCTTGTAAAAGCCTGCTGCTAACCCACTGCTTCTGTAGCTATTGCTAATTTTCAAATTTTAGGTGCAACGAACTCATGTTGACTGGGATGACTGGGAAACTTTTCAAAAATCATTACAAACAGCAAAGAATCATCAAATAAAAATATGTGTACCGCCAGCGCCTATGTACAATAACTGAACTGAACTGAGAATACTTACACAGCACCCTCAGTGTGACGTCTGCTCTTGCCATCTGTCCTAACGCCTCATTGGTTGCCTGACATTCATAGATGACATCATTCTCACTGTCTGTGAGAGGCACCGTCAGATTAGAATAAGTCTTGTACCCACCCTCAGGAGCCTCAATCACCCTCTCTGTGGCCCCTGACAGCTGCTGACCTTTGGCAATCCAGGTAATTTTTGCTGCAGGATTGCTGTTGCTAGAGACACATGACAACATGATGGTCTCCCCTGCTCTGGCATTGGCAGCCCCTAATATTTCTGCCTTTGCTGGTGCAACTGTAAAGAAAGAATTTCAGTCAACACTGTTTAGTACTTTGTTACTTAATATCTATAATAAGATCATTTTGAAAAAGAAACGCGGTCATCTACAGTGTAAAGATCGGTGCAATGGACCAACGATGACTTATGACAATATAGTCGAGTCATGAAAACTACTTACAACCTAATATTTAACTGCTCATTTAGTCCAAACAATGGACCTTTCATTATCCAACAACACAAAATCATCTAGGCATCTTACATATTTGTGCTGTATATCAAAAATTGTTTATACTCACAGTAAACTTTCATGAGCACCGCAGCCACTTTGGGCGCCTGGGTCACCACATTAGACACCTCACACTTATATTCTGCATTGTTGTCCGAGGCGTCAGCATTCACCACAAGGTCATTCACAGCCATGTTATCCCCAGTTGTGAAAGAGTAGTCGATCTGGATGTTGTTCTTGTACCAGACAACACGTGCCAGAGGGTTTCCGCCTTCAGATTTACAGCTGAGTGTGACGGTGTCGCCAGTACGGATGATCTGATTGGTCCTGTAGCCTGTGATCACTGGGTGCCCGGGCTCATCTGAATATCATGATCATTACATCATTATTAGCTATATTTTTAAATTGCTGAACAAGAAGGAGAGAATAAATCATGGGCAAAATATGTATGTAGTTATACTTACAACTGATTCAAAAGTTTTGACAAGTTAGTTAGCTTGGTGTCAGAAAGAACATAATTGTGAATGTCTGAAAATGAAAAACCTTGTGCAAGGAAACTATAATGAAAGGTGCATGTTTTTAAAATTCTTTGCAATTACTGTACTTACATAGCACACTAAGTTTGATGACAGTTTCTAATACTTTATTCCTGAGAGCTGGGTGAGTGGCTTGGCAAGAATACAGGGCACCATTATCTTCCTTCACTGGGTTTAGAGTTATTATGCTCTTTGCATTTACCCTTTTACTGCCTGGAAAAAAATTACTGAATACATTTCCCGATAACTAATTAGTCATCATTCACTCAGCAACAGCTCTAAAAGACATTAAACACAATTAAAATCTTAAACTTAAATCAAACTTTTTCTGCTTTAAAATAATTTCACAAATCAAACATTTCCCATTAACAATTAAGAATGTATTTGTAAAAAACTTTTTACACATCAAATTAAGTTTTGCATTTGGAAGAAATAATACTAAAAGTTACAAAACATTTCGAATTCTTAACACAAATATCCTTACTTGGATCACTTGAGTATGTAGAATATTGCACTGTTTCCGTGACGTCGCGGCCATTTCTTTTCCATATCAACCCAGGAGCGGGCTTCCCATTCATGGCATTGCATGTTAAGTTGACCGTAATGTCTGTGAGTAGGACCTCTACTGTAGAACCATTGGTATGGCCCTCTATCTCTGGCTGGTCTGGAGGGACTGAAAATAATAATAATAATAATAATAATAATAATAATAATAATAATAATAATAATAATAAAAGTGAAATTTGCTGGAATAATAATAATAATAATAATAAAATCAACTGGTCCCTAGTTAAAGTTGATTTTTAAAAAATTTTTTCTTTTCATTGATCTAAGCCCTAGAAATATTTTGAACACTCAATTCTTAATTTTACATCCATGTGAGAAAGGTAGGATTTCACAGGATTTGAGAAATAAGCATTTTAAAATAAGAAATACTGCCTAAAGAACCTCTATATTAACATACAATAATTCTATGCCAATTTTGGGAAAACAAATACAGCAAATTCAGCAAAACTCCTCACCTCATACCTTGAACTTAAATTTATCTCAAACAAAATTTATAGAATGAGTTTTTTCCCTTTTTATCGCCTCCCTTGAATCATTGCTTCACTAGACCAAATTTTCCATTCCCAAAAAGAGTTATGGTCTTTCATAAGTTAAGGGAAATATTTTTTATATACATTACACTTACCCATAACATATAAGTGGGCTTTGGCCTTAAGATGTGGGTTGTTCTGAGATGGGGTGACTTGGCACTCAAAGTCTGCATCGTCTGACAAGTCCGTATTGGTTATCATTAAGTTATGCTGTCCTAGTGTCACACTGCCCACCATGGAGTAGCGAGGGTACCCAATAATGCTGCGGTCAAATCCTGCAAATAGAGAAACAAAGAGTGAGATTTCTTTTTAAAAAGAAGGGAAACTTATTTTCCTTCCTCTTTGGTTGATCAAATGTTGCTGCTGATAGACTAGGCCTATCTGCAATCTCTTTACTACAGTATATTACAAGGTGGAAGACACTACCTTTTAGTGTACTTTTTCACTTGATTGGCAATTGTATACCTGTTAACTTCACATTTGAATACACTCTCCTTCCCTCGTTTACCAATAATTTCCTAATATCAACCCAGCCTTGCTGTCTACCTCAAAATTCTACCCATACCCCCTTTTCACCCACCCCCGACCCACAACAGAACTTATACTTACCTAATGCAAACCCATCCTTGGCCCACTGTAGCATTCCCTGCATGCTGTCTACCTCACATTTCAATACTGCTGTCTCCCCTGCTATCACGCTGGTGTCATTGGGCATCACACGGAAAGACTGAATCACATTCTGGGCACCAGCTAAAACACAGAACACAATACATGTTTTTAACCCACACACACAGTGGAATTTGCTGGAATATTGGGGTCAAAAGATAATTAATTCATAAATGCAATGGAACGACTGAAAATGGTTTTGTTTGCTGAATTGTTCAGCAAAAAAATTCTACACACCGTATGCTGTGATAATAATGGCTTGGGACATTTTTATTTATAATTTAACTATTTTCATTCATTCATTGGTCTCTGCGTAAAGTGAGTTCTGTAGATAGTCAGCATAATTTGACTTATCAAGCACAGACCTACAAACCATTAAGTCAAGATCATTTTTCAAAAACAGAGAAATACTAGTCAATAAAAGGAGGCAAGGCAAAGACAATTTTGATATCCCTGTAGGAAATTAAAAATTGATCGAGATACTATGTTTGCATGCTGTATTTAAAACAAATGGGAAATACACATATCAGTGCTCTTCACAGGAAATGTAGTAAAAACATATTTTCAAATCTGTTCTAATGAACATTTCCTCACATCAATTCACTTATTTAACCTCTAACAGTATACTTCATACATGTTTTCTCTACACGTTCAGCTTTATGTGTAAAATCAACCAGAAACAATATTTATCATATGGTACACTCCATAATTATAAAGCTGCTTTACAAACTCAATGATGTATTAAGAGACTAAGAAGGTACAGATGTCTGAACAATGTTAAACAATGTTAAGTAAAAGCTTTATGTGTAAAATCAACCAGAAACAATATTTATCATATGGTACACTCCATAATTATAAAGCTGCTTTACAACCTCAATGATGTATTAAGAGACTAAGAAGGTACAGATGTCTGAACAATGTTAAACAATGTTAAGTAAAAGAAAAAAAAAAAGAGAGAATGCTGTTTCCTCCAAACGGGTCCAACGTTTCTGACTCTAGGAAGAGTGGGGGGTGGGGGCACATACTTTCAATATATACTTCTGTCACTAACAGTTCATAAAACAACACAAAATGTTATGAGAAAGAGCAAAACAATTTGTGCAGTTCAAATATATCTGGATTACCCACTCAGCACAGCAGAGAGTATCACAGTGTACTTGTTCCCCTACACCCCACCATGCAAGGTTGATATATCGCCCCTATACCAACAATGCCTATAAACACACTGGCCTGGATAGGCCTGCTGCAGCCATATTGTTTTCACAACCTGGGACTTGTGTATATGTTAGCAGTAGCTGTTGATTAGCTTCTCTGCCACTTACTGTGGTGCTGCTATTAGGATAGCAGTTGGTTTTAGGTAAATTTTATTTTAAAATGTCTGGCTTTTTTTTTTAAACCTTGATGTTTGTCTGTACATAACCTGAAGGCAAATAATGCTAAGTGTAAGTCTGTTAAATGTCTGCCATAAATAAAATTTAAAAAATGTAACATTCTTTTGAGTGTGGTATTTGAAAAAAATCAAAATATGAAGTAGGTGTATTAAGTTAATTGGAAATGGTTTACAGGCTTTGTTTTTTTAACTTCTAAAAACAGACTGTAATAATTTCTTTGTGGAATTCTCCCATTGGTCTGTACGTCTCCTGCCATAGGCATTTCACCCTGTACCACACAAGATGCAGCAAAGAAATGGACAGCTTCATAAACAGCCATTAAAATGTCACCAACATACACAGTGTACATACTGCAGAACCCGCTGGAACTTGCTTCTTCTTTTAACACTCAAAATTTTTGAATTGTAATCAAATTATAGGTGGAAGATATCACATTGTCATTTAAGAGTATCCCTTCTGTATTTGGATATTGTCATCAAATCACAGGTGCAGAATATCACATTGTCATATAAAGAGTATCCCTTTAGTATTCAATGTTTGTATTTAAGAATAAACTAGCATAAAGACACTTTCCATTATTTCACTGCTAAGAACTCTTTCCAGAAGACTGCCAATGACCCTTGACCCAGCAGAAAAGGTTACCCAGTCGTCACGGCAACTATACACACGTCTGCAAGATGAGCCCAACCCCTCCACCACAGGAAAGTTCCAGTTACCATAGAGCCTGTATTAATTAACAGGCAGTTAATTGAATTTATTTTCATTCTCCTCAGCCCACAGCCTGTGGCATACCCTGAATGGCAGATCCACTATCACCTTACAGGTCTCCAGAAATGACAGAAATTCTTGACTTCCAGGGAAATTATTATTTTTTTTTTACTTTTTAAGACTTACGCATTATAATATCTCCCTTAATGTGGAATGATGATTTAATGCATGATAACTGATGAAATGGGGACTGACTACAAGTAATACCAAAGAAACAATTTGCTATGATTTCCACTTTTTTTTATTATTTGATGAAAATGTTGATCAAAAATAATGATTTTATGTTATATCAATATAAAAGGACAAAGAGAAGACAAGCAAGATGGCATATACATTCTATATGTGTTAATACTTCATAGAGAAAATGGAAAATGAGGAGCTAAAAAAATGACAGATTTAGTGCAATCGACACCTTAACCACCAACCAAAAACATCTCACCATAATGTGTCATAGCTAGAGAATCCACTGCTACATCTGGAACTTATTGCACAACAAAAACAGGGCACAAATTTGATTAGAAGAATGGCCGATCAGAACTACATATTTATGACAGTCAAATAGATTTCCCTAAAGCACCTGCCAAAGGCCCCATTGACTTGCACTCAACAACTGCTTGGGATGGTCTGACATTTTGAAGGCTGTGGGATACTCTGAGTGAAAAGTTTTGACATTATTGTCTAAATATCAATGATGCCATTGGAACAGTGGAGGAGACACCTACCAATCAATATCTACTTTCCTCTGGTGCTAAATGCTTTTTAATGCACACTAACTCATCTTTGTGGCCACCTACAATTATTTTTGCTGTAACTGTTTTTTTTTTGTGAAACATGCCCTTGCCAGAACAGGTTTTTATGCTCTATAAAATATCATTTCCCCCTCTCCCTCCTCCCAGTCAAAGAGTATTTTTCTTGACTTTCATAGCACTTGGGGGGGGGGGGGGGGGGGGGAAAGATCTTGATTATTGCAGAAAATGTAATGATATTTACTTGTATATTATTTACATCTTTTTCACATACCCACAGTTATACAACTGTAAATAATAATATATGAAATAGATTTATAACCTGTGGATAGGTGCAGCTGTGTGAATGATATTTAATATTTTTATCTGAATCTACAGTTAAAATAATAAAGGGCACACAGAAATCCTATATTTGGGACAAATTCACATGGCCTAATCAAATCAATCAACTATTCAAAAAAAAAAAAAAAAAAAACTGTGGCTCTGTATATCAACAATACTAACAACAATTCACTGGTCTAATATCAACTATTTTAACACCAAATAACCCTAACTTGATTAGGAAGCATGCAGGGAGGCATTTTCATAAATGCTGTCCACTTATCTAACCCGCCCCTTCTCTCCTCCTCTAGCCAAACATTCCATAAGAAATACAACAGATGTGTTCACATTATGCTTCAGTAGACCCGATTTGTAACAGTTTAGTAACGTTAGTGGTCACTATTGCAATGAAGTATTTGACCACAGTATTACCTCATACTGCTACAGTCTTGAGTCTCATTGCTAACATCTAGACTGAGGTTTTCTAATTTGTTGTTCAAAATATAAGACTTAAGTTCCATAACATCACTGCATATGCAACTTAGACCAATTTGTAATCGGGTTTTTGGTTCCCAGTGTGAACAGTCTGGACAGAAAGTATGGACAAGATAACAAGCAGACATTTTCTAACTGTGACAGATGCTTTTAATCGGCAGAGGTACTGGAGAGAAAACATGGCAAATTGCACTTAAGAGCTGAAAACGCTGGAGGGACTCTATTACCAATCTCCTTTATGATCACTCCAGTATTTATATTCGCTGTCTGTTATGCTCTTAGGAAAAAAATTGTAGACGTTTTGCCTGCTCTGCTTTCTTTAACAATTACTACACCATACATTCAACAACTTGAAATCCAATTACAGTATCCAGTTCAGTGCCATGTATTTGTGTCTGTATTTTCTTACATTTCATGTGACTAGCGTTGTTGTCCAAAGCGTTTTTTTGTCCCTCATAGTCTAGTGCACCCAGTATGTTGTAAAAATTACTGGAGGTCAAGATTTGAAATAGGAGTATTGACCACTGTTTCTCAACTTGCAAATGACCAGTCAATGCATTTGCTTCACTACCCAAACTCACTCTCCTAATAGAGCAAGCCCTGTTTGCATGATGTTTATTTGCACAGCACTAAAAGGAACAGATGCAAGTGGATCAAAACACCTTTGGTCAACTTGAAGATGGACACTGTAACCACACTTGACCACTTCACTTCCATTACTGCCCACTTTTACCAGTTACTGGTGCAGTAACAGTATACATTGAATGATTGAAACAATTAACTCGAGAGAGAGAGAGAGAGAGAGAGAGAGAGAGAGAGAGAGGAGACTTTCCCAAATTTCAATTTCATAACAGCATTACAAAATGAAATGATCTTTTTCTAATTATTCTAAACAACACAAAACTTTATTTACCTAATTTTGCTGTTTATGGAGATGAATTTGAAATACCTTAAAATCCTTGGAAATTTGGAAATGAGGAAGTTTCCAGAAATGAAGCCAAACTAAGCTGAATTACCAAGTTGATAAATTGGAGAAGTGTCTGTAACTTTGTACAAAGTGACTAGGATATTTATAATAATGTTTGTAAACCATTGGTTCTAAGGCAGAATATCCATTAAATGCTGAATTAACTTCAACTGAACCTTGCCTTTCACTGTTAACCTTAGGTCAAAAACAAGGTCCTAAAACTATCATAACCATTTAATGAAAATTTTCTTTTTCCTTCACATCCCATTTCAATTTAGAGACCAAAAATAATAACATTTATTGGCGTGTTGAAGCATTTCTACCATAGATCTATAATCCATTATATTTTTAATTGACAGAAACTCACTCACTGCCTGCCTGGGTGAACTAGGAGTG